GAGAACGTAACGTACACGAAGGCTGTGGACGGTGAATTCGGCAACCAGGCGCAAAAAATCGGCGTAGCCGTCCACCTGCATTAGTTCACTCAGCTGAAAATTGCACTTTATGCGGGAAAGGAAACGACAGAACTCGTGGTAGGTGAGTGGTTCACGAAGAAGATCTGCGTGGTCTCGCAGAACGCCAAGCGCGCCAGTCATGAGCGAGGTCAAAAAGGATTGACGTTCAGCGTTGCTAAAAAGCGAACGTCGGATGCTTGCCATTTGCACCAGACAGGATATGGTCTGTGTGGAAGGGAGAGAATAGAATAGATGAACAGCCAAATAAATTGAAGGTATGTAAGTTAACCTATGCCAGAAATGTGAGACGGCAATGTTAGGAAAAGAAGAAGAATACACATAGGCATGCATTTCATCAGCGAAATATAGACAACCAAGTAACAGCTTACCACTGCTTCCCGTTCCCTGAACCAGGCCATGATCCCTCGCTCCTATTCGAGAAACCTGTACAACCTTTCACTTCCTTCCCTCATCAAAGTTGCAATTGGCTGGTTTTTATTCTTAACCTTTCGTTGCCCTATCTTGATGAACACTACTGTACCAGGGGTTAGCCAAAAAAACAGAAGTTTCTATTTATACTTTTTTTGTACAGAAGTATTCTGTGTGTATATATCACCCTAATCTGTGCATGTATCGCACTATTCTACAGTTACCTATGAGTAAGGGTTCTCGACGAAATCCGAAACGTCAGGCAAATACACTTGTGGTTACAGCGATCGCATCTTTGACTTCCCGGAACTTGCATATTCGCTTCTACCGACAATACTTTTGCTGTCTAAGATAATATGTCTAAAACATTAATTCTCTGGTCAATAAATGATATGCACTTGCCTCCACCGTTTTTTCATTGTTGGAAACACTTTTTTTATATTCCTGTGAACTAATGCTGGTTCATTAACTTCGACATTTTTTGCTTACTCTCCTCCACGTTTTGAAAACACTGTCCATTTACGTTTTTATTTACTCTTGGGAATAAGAAATTGCGGGGGGGGACTAGGTCGAGGGAGAAAATGAGATACGAGACCAACTACATGCCGCTTTGCGTCAAGAATAGTCGGTTTTGAATGCTGTGTGGACAGGCGCATTGATATGATGGAGCAGCTAGTCGTCCCCCGATCGGCAAAATTCAGGTCGTTTTTCCCTTACTGCCTTAGACAATCGGTTCAGCAATCGCAGAGATAGTAATGCGCGTTCCCTCCGGAACAAAGTTAACGTGTATAACTCCTTTAAGGCCGAAAAGCAACCCAGAATGAACGCGCTACTCCTTAAAGTTTGCCATCCCCAAATCAGCGATAGCGTTGGCAGAGGGGTCAATCGTACAATCACACTGTCCACTGCAATGACCCACTGACCAGGAAAGATTTCTAGTAGACGCAACTAGCAGGAACGGACAGAACTGCCAACACACTTGTCTGCAGAAAATAATTCTTTTTTTTCAAGTTCCCCTTTGTACGGACCTGGGGATTAGTAATCTGAAACGCACACTTACCGATAGTGATTTATTCAATAAGGTTAATAAATCTCAAAATGGAGTGCTGGGTAATACATTTTAATGGGGGTTGCCACTCTATCGCTGATTTTGGTCTTTTACCACAGCCCACCAACGGAAGGGAAGGAGCTGAACGAACTCAATTTCGCCACAAGCTGATTCGGTCGTAAGTTCTAAGGATATCATCCATCTCTGATAAAAAGATCTCCCCTCTCTCCCTAATCACTACTGATTGGTTGCTTAAACTTTTATTCACTCTACCCTCCCTTATATGAATGCAGTTGACTGATGATGAATAATCGAAAACGTTCGTTCGCATAGCTTGACTTCCCGAATGCTTACATGGGTTTTATCGTTAAAGATCAAAAAAGTCTAAAACCTATGGAGGTGAGCGAGAAGCCAAGTGATATGTGGAGATAGTGAAGACTGGCACACACGGGCATTGCAAACCACTTTAAGTTTTTTCCAGTGACAGGCAACGCCGCAGTCGTGTGAACAAACCAACATAATTTAGTTAAGCACTGCAAGCTCCTTGTGTGATACGAAAGCTCCTAAACGGTGTAGGACAAATAGCCCTCAGGTGAGGTTATCAGGGTCAATTGGTTCCCATGTGCAGCGGGAGAGCCAGAAACCCAACAATAAATCTTGGTTCACTAGTACTTACGATCATTACTTGAGTGTAGAATGTGTTTTCGCTTTCAGATAACCCTAAAGTCGATCAACTGAAAGCGGGAGGTCCCGTTTCCCACGATGTAACTAAATACAACACGGATACTATCGCGTTGCTAACTAGGAGATGGGCGGCTGAATTAGTTTTAAACTACACACAGGTTCCCTGATGAAACAACTGAAAGGACAAGCAGCTAGACGCAGTATTCAAGTTCAAGATAAAGAAATAGATGGCCAGACTGCCATTCTGGAAGTCAGCAACGGTTCATAACCAGGCAGAAATTTTCTTTCTGCTTACTTTAAAGAGATCAACGCTTCTACCAGGAAAATCTCAGTTCGTAATGCTATGCTATGGTTGCACCCGTATTGTGCTGACTGAACCTTGGCGGGTATCGAACATTAAAAAAATACAAAAAAGACTGTTTGAAGCCAGTCAGAGCATGGATAGGCATTACGTCTCTTACCAAGGGCCGTAGCTGGCTAGGCAGACCAGCAAAGAGCCGAAAAAAGAGTTGGACGGTGGAGCACTCTAGAAAGACAGGCCGCCAGGCAGTCGGCAGCTGAACAGTCATCAGATCGTCGCCAGTGGCGGAGATCATATCGTCACACGCGCCCGGTGCTGAACCGACAGAAGTGCCCAGGAAATCGTAGCTGAGGCAGGAGAGGGCAAGACGCAGGCTGTGCTGGACGATCGCCGTCTGCCATTGGACACACAAAAAGGACGCAGTTAATATCTAACCACAGCCAGGGCTCAATAAAAACTTCAATGGGGCTGTCCAGCGTTAGACAGGACACCCACTGTTATTTTCAACGACTAGCATTATCGCCTATCATCATCGCCTATTCGGGTGGGGGTGAATCGGCGTAATAACACGCAAAATTGTGGAAATAGAAGAGCAAATAATTTATAAAAGTGGGTCTACCTTCATAAACCTCTACACAGGGGAATTCACCAAAAGAATACAACAACAAACAGCTAAGTTTATTAAGCTCTGGCATTAAAGGACGCAAACAGTAAAGCTCTAA